ATCAAAGGTAGTGTGAGGGACCAGATATGGGGGGAAGGGGGGGCTTGGGTTAGTTGTATTTTTGTAAAGATAAAAACAGTTCTAGTTAGGTAGGAAAAGGACAGCACTGTGTAGACAGCTGAGTGGCAGGTAGTGCTACTGAAAAAGGTTGGAGATATAAAGCTTTGTTTAAAATGAGTTTGGTTTTTTTTATTTATCATTTTTATTTTGTTTAAAAATAAAGACACCTATAGGGAAGAAAAGTACTCCTAACTACACAGTGCCACTTGTTAATTTTGTGTAAATAATACTAGACCATGTAAATACAATGTTGTATATGAAAAAAAATCTTTAAAATAAAAGGGAATCATTTGTGAGCAGAAAGATTTTGTTTTTATTTTATTGATTTTTGTTTTTCTGTTTTAATAATTAAAATGTGACACAAATGGTGTGTATTTCAATTTATTATTATTTTTTTTTAAACAATCTATAATGGCAAGTGTACAGTATATATAATGAAACACAATGCAAAATGTTTTACCGTATTATACCCTTGGTTAACTCCTATCTGTGTCATAAAAACCTTTGTCCTCAGTTGCTTGCTTCTTTCTGGTATCATGGTTTTACAGTGCTTTGGACATGTCTATAAGCTTGATTGTGAACAATTAAAGCTTGTCTGTCAAAGCATGGAGACGTGGCTTCAAATCAACTTGCTTTTCCACACTGTAAAAGTGAGGTTGGGCAATGTTAGAGTGAGCAGATGAGATTCACCAAAGCTGAAGATCTTGATAAGGATCACTTCTTTTGATTTTTATGTTTATTAGTATTGATGTGAGATGTAATCATAGAGTCACAGGGTAGCCTTAGTGCTAAATGTGTGTAATGTCAAGAGCCAAAGAAAATACTAACACATTGATACTTGTGCAAAAGTGAAGAAAAAAAAGATTGAGTTGAGAAAGTAAAAGCAGGATTCCTAGGAAAACAAATTGCTGAACAAGTAGTTTCCCAGCTGGGCTGTTCATAAGCTAGCCATGTAGATTTATGTCAGATGATATGGTAAAATAAGATATTTGGGATCTGTCTCTTTTTATAATGTTGCTGAGCCAGAGGCCACTATGGCAGCTACACTATTACCACCTATTTTGAAAAAGGAAGCATTTCCTGTACATTCTGTGCAGATAAGGGCCAAACACAGTTTTAATGTTGGTGTAAACGGAGCAGACAGAAAAGACCTGAATATTGTGTGTCAATCTTCAAATCATCCCAAAGTTAGTGCAAATTTTTCAAGTGGTGTAGGCCTAAAGTAATTCAAGCAGGCCTTCCTAAATGGATGTGTACACACTCCAATTACAGCTGGGTTTTATACCACCATATAGGTAGGTTTACTGCACTATTCGAACCTCTGACCCTCTGGTTGGGAGGCGACCTCTCTACCCACTGAACCACAGTCGCCCCACAATAGTTTTAGGCAGTATAATTAAAGACCAAACATACTGTATCATCCTGTATGCTATCCATATACATTTAAGTGACCACCCCATTCATATTGTTTGCAGTTCTTCCCAATATATTTAAAGACACGTGAATCGTTTGAATGAAACAAAAATACTTCTATTAAATTCAGCATTAGAGCTGTGTCCCTGTTTCTGGATTCCAAAGACACTTAACTTACATTCTTGTTGAGATGGGGCATGAACTCATGTATTCTGGAACATTGCCTCTGTCCACACCATGGTACTCTGACCCCCCCAAATGCTCATAGATCACACGGATCTCATCTGGTCTCTAACATTCATAAACATTTATTCCTAAATTTAACCAGAAGAGGGTGCTGTTGTCAAATGGAGACGGACCACGCTGCATGCTCCTCTGACGCTGTTTTTAATGGCATCAAATCTTTTTCATGAATGTAGGATTATTAATATATAATTGACTCTATATACATATAACAGCTTAGCAGTTTTTTCCCTTTCGCCTTCTAATAACAAATGCACCCTAATTGAAAATATTAAATATAAGGGAAATGTAATTGAGTGGGGCGGTTTGGGTTGGAACAGAGAATTAACTATGAGAAGCTTATTGTAAATACATCAGTTCTAAAAAGAAAAAAAGGTTTGTCACTTTAAAAATGCTAATCAAGTTTGTTAGGGATTTATTGTTACGTCACATCCGGAAGGGAGCTTTGCCTCCTACTTTTTTGTTGGGATCTGGGAGAGAAGTCTGTCCCGCAGAGGAGACGAGGTGGAATAACAGAAGAAAGGGGGAATAAATAAAGGAGTTACCTACCATGGAACTGTACGAGGTGGTTGTTTAGTCATCTACGATGCAAGCGGACGTCCTTTCATCGTGAATTCCCTTTAGGAGGTCTTTGTAAGTATCCTCTCATCCAGACGTCCTCGGACCCACAAGTGGCTGCGGAGCAAGTGCATGTCGGATCCAAGCTCTTACAGCTAAGGGCAGTGTTTGTTTTGCTGTACGGGGCACGCTTGCATGGCCGGGGTTACACGTATTCTATGCGTTCTTTGCTAACGGTTAGCTCGCGCAATGAAACAAGCGCACACCTGTTGCTTTTGCTTACACCAGGTATTTAGGGCCTTAACTGAGTACAAGTAAAGCTAAGGGGTAATTTGTTTGTATTGTTTTATTATTACAGACGTCTTACACATTTTCTGACATGTTTTTTTTTTTGTATCTCAGAGTTTGTTATGGTTTTTGTTAAAACGGATCCACAGCAACTTCAGCAAGTTAACTGCTTCAAAAAGTCATTTAGCTGGTGTGTAATCTCTCTCTCCGATCTCCTCTTTATAACCTTTCTTGCTACTGCGGTTTTTATATTCACCGAGCAGCATTAGCACACGTTCGTCACACAATGAAAGTTCCGTTATTTTAACTAAAAGACAGTTCTGTCCTTGTTAGTTTTGCCGTTACCGTTAGCTCTGTTAGTCACTGTCATTTAAGGCTACAGTTATCTGTTATTGTTTGCTAATGTTGCTATTGTTTGCTGTCATACAGTAACTACTGGTTGTGAGATAACGACAGCTTTCTGGGGCTTTTAATTAAAGTAACGTAAAGCTGAGATATATCTGTTGTTCCTTTTCTCAGCTGAGTTAACTCACCTTGTACAGAAATACTTACACACATAGCTTACATACTTATGACCTCATAGTTTTCAGGTGCAGGTTTCCGGTTTTCTCTGGCTTCCTGCCAGATGACATTACAACAGTATAAACAAAACTGTTTATTAGAACTATATTTTCTAACACAGACAAACTCGCCATCTGTTTCTGTGGTTGTAGTATACACCAGTTGTTCACCTATCACCCTTTACTTGGTTTAGAGTTATAGCTGAACCCTGTTTTTAAATGTGACATATTTAAAACAAACTAAATTTCTTACAATGCTTTGATCGCTACCCTTGTCCTTTACAGGTGTGATACTGTAACCCTCCCTCTACCACATCATGCTGAGTTTCCTGCGCAGGACGCTGGGGCGACGCTCCATCCGGAAACATGCGGAGAAAGCCCGGTTACGGGAGGCTCAGAGAGCCACAACGCACATCCCTGCTGCTGGGGATGCAAAGTCTGTCATCACTTGTCGTGTATCCCTACTGGATGGGACAGATGTCAGTGTTGACCTGCCAGTAAGGAGGATTGCTAGATTGTGAACCTTTGTGCATTCTTAATCTCTCACCCCCTTTTTAGCTGGATAGCAAGGATTATTTTTGTATTTTGGACAAGAACAGAATGAAAACACATGATTTTAACAGACATATGAACAACTAGACTGAATATTGTAATTGATTCCCTCAACTTCACTTCTCCCTCAAGTGTGCACACTATTCAGCTGTTGTTTAGAGGACAATTAATGATTAGTAAAAATCACTGTGAAATTGGCATAACTAGCAGTATTTATGTGGTTATGTAGAAGAAAGTAAAAGTAAAAGTAGTGTACTAGTAACCGTTGTGTGCCTGTATCAGTAGAGCAGTCCTTTAAGTGTGTGTGGTGTGTGTGTATGATAGTGTTAATGATCACCTGTAATTCTGTGATCCTCTCTGGAGAACACGATCACATGACAGCATCATGGCCAAGTGGATACAGGGCAGAACTTCATCCTTCCCTCTGCTTCCTGTTTCTTTTGACTTTCTTCTCATCTCTTTCTTTTGTCTTTTCCTTTGTTTCTCTTATAGTTTTTTGTCCGGGACTGTTAAAATCACATAACAAAGAGTCATTTAAGTAGTACAGCTGTAGAAAACATATTAAGCTCCAAGGAAGATGTCCTGAAAAGAGATTTTTGTTCTCATTCATTTTGGGGCTAACGTTACTAGTAGCCTATTACTTAAAGAATTGTTGATGGTCGATTTCAGCCACTACTAGACTCAAACTGGGATTTCCAAAGATGTGAGCAGCGTGTATGCACAACTTATAAGTGTCTATCAGCAGGACTGCACAGTCCTCACTGACAGGAGTGACACCAGGAGCCTGATCCATCAGAACAGATTTAAGTAAAATGTTTCCAACACATAAACAGGTCGTCTGCCTGTTATAAGCAGCTGTCTCTGGCGATTACACTTCAAAAGTGCCTAAGGAAAAACTTGAACTGTAACAAAGTGGGTACAGGGATGATGTGTTTGTCTCAGAGTGATTGTAGATCGACACATTTGAAAGACTGGCAGTCTCTGGCTTGTGAGACGGGCGAGTGACACATCGTGGAGATTGTTATGTCTGTCCACTATTTCTACAGTGAGAACACTGTTTGTGCGTAACCTTTTTATTTTGCAGTCACTCCCAGTGCAACCTTAAATAAATTTAGCTGCAAAATGGGACTGATCACTCACAGTCCGGAGCCCCTGGGCTGAATTATAGTCTTATCTTTCTTGTCGTTCTTCTAGTGGAATGTTATCTGCTTGGACTGTTTTCTCTTTAACCTAGTTTATCATTCTCCCGTGCTCTCCCAATTTTGTTTATAGCTTAACAGAAATGACCGCTAGAATTTTTACAAGGAAGTTTTCACCACAGTTAGTTTTTTTATGTTTATATTGATGGAGTTTGAGTTTCTCCCAGCCTAAGTGTACTTTTCTAACGTTTTCAGATTCACTTGGATTTCTGAATGCATTCCAGCAGCGTCTCATGTTAGCTTTCTGTTTCCCCTCCCCCAGATGGAGGTAGCTTCTGCAAACCCTCTGTGTTATCATCCAATGCTCTCTAAGTGATAAGACTATAACAAAAACACACCAGTTAGCAGCACCGATATACTTAAATGTGTTTCCTTCTGTAGATATCATCACAATAATGACTGCACCACCAACACAGTAGATATCCATCACAATAATGACTGCACCACCAACAGTATTTCAACTCAACCAGGGAAGAATTGTAAAGGAGAAAACATCAAGAAAAGATTGCTCATCTTAGTTAAAATGATGAGAAACTAGTTTAGAAAATAAACAGACACAACATAGATGCAACCCGTCTATAGGCTATATTAAGCAACATTTCCTCACATATCTTAAAAGTAGCCCATCTTGGATGTTTTAAATCTGGATAAATGAGTTTCTCCTTCAGAGTTAATTATTTAGAGTCAAAAGTGTTTCCTCTGCTATGTCACTGCCCTTCATTGGACAAGAGCCTGCATAATGAAGGGGAGTAGCTGTTGACAGACTCTGTAGTGCCTACTGAAACTGGAGGTGCCCTGTGTCTAGGCAGCACATTCATGTTTTTTTATAAAGTTAGGACTAAGTGTTTCATTTTTAACATATCATAATTTCTTGTTGTTTAATGTAGCATTTCTAATTTAGGTGTTTTGATGTCATCGCTAATTGGTGTATTACCCTCCTTACTGCTTAGCATAGCTAGAGCAATGACAGTGTGTGTGAATAATTATGATAGGTCATTCAATTCTTCCTTGGGGGCATTGCTAGTTTTCAGTGGTTGTTTTTCTTTGTGCTGGCCTGTCTGAACTGTTCCTGAATGCTAGTTGATTAAGAGGGAACTGACCTTTCATTGGAGAAACAGTGTCAACATAGGCGGAGACAAACCTTTGGGTAGTCGAGAGGGAGGTTGAGTGGATTTGCAGGGAGGGAAGTATTGACACTGTTAGTCTTTCAGCCAGACATATTGTATAGTTAAACAGTCTCTGAGGAAAAGTTTGGCGTATTGTGTAAAAGTCTTCCAGGTATTATGGAGTAGGAACAGTGATATCTAGAAAAGAAGTTAAGCACAGTTTACCAGTTACATATATATATATAGAGTTGGAATCAGAAATACATCTGATATTTTTTTGCATTTGCTTTCTGATCCTTTGTTTAACAAGGCTTATTCTACACAGTTAAGTATTTGGCTCCATTAAAGGATTCCCAGACTACCAGGTGTCAGCTAAGTAGTTGTTAATTCATCCGGAGCTGTCAGACGTATGGGAGACCCCCTGTTAAATGGTACACCATGTTTTTCTTTTTAGGAGCTGAAGTGGTTATAAATACACAGCCACAGTCTAAACCTGAATAGGGTCCATTCATATGCTTTAGCTTTCCAGCTGTTTGTGCTCCTAGTGTGTATGCCCATCCAGAGCTGTATCCTAGAGATACCTCTGTGTAGCAACATCCCTGGTCGTACAGTCTCCTAGTCTTCTATTTGTTCAAGACATTGTGTTTGCCCCTTTTAAAAAGGATGCATTATGAAACTTTTTTTTTCTTTCTTCTTTCAAGCATGTAAAGACAGTTGATATATCAACACACATAATTTCACACATATCCAACAAATGCTAATCCAATATCAATGTGCTTATACCTAGTACATGCTTGAATGGAGTAGGAAGAAGTCAGACTTATCCAGTCCTACCCCATGACATCATCTTACCATCATTGGTTTGCAAGCAGTAAATGATTCACTTCTACACCACACAAGTAATATACTAAAGAATTATAA